GTGCCCACCACTTTGATCTCTCCCCTGGCGCTACCACAGGCTGACAATCTCATCTCCCTGCTTCCTCCATAATTTCTTCTAATCTAGTCCCCAGGGTGAAGCCTGAGTGGTCTTTGAAATGTTGAATCAGAATCAAGTTCCTCCCCTACTCAAAACCTATCACTTCTTCCCCTGGCCCTGCAATAAGTAAAACTTCAGCTCCTCACCTTGGCTTTCAAGCCCTGCCAGCCATCACCTGCAAGGTAAACTTGAATGACACTGGGCCTCCTTCAGCCCCAGTCACACAGAGTCCTTGCCTGCCTCCGGGTCTTTGCATGTGCTGTACTCTGTGTGTAGAACACTCTCCCACCACTAAGAGAGACAGCACGCAGGAGGAGGACATCATTTGTCTCTTTGCTGGTTCTGTGACCTGTTCCAGGTCCCAGATGGGACCTCCTCAACATGACCCTCCCTCTAAAGTACATCTTCCAGTACCATCTCCTAACATGGTTTGTTCTGTTGAAGCAGTTACCCCCAAGCAGGACAAGCTTTCAATGGAATGCAATGGACAAGCTTCTAATCAGCCATTGCCTCCCACCCGGAGTCCAGGCATCAGCCCACAGACCCACTCCAAGTGGCCACCATGTGGCCTCTCAGGCCTCCCTGATCAACCCAAACCATCCTAGTCCACTTTCACCCCTCACAGCCCCTGAGTTCCCCCAGGGCATGAGCTATGCTGATCTCACCAGCACTGTATCACCCGCACCCAGCAGCATGCCCGGCACACGGCAGGTCCCCAACAAGACACTCCCCATACAAATGAGTCATGAGATCTGAAATGGGAACAAACTTTCTCCCAAGACCAAGTGCCATTCAAAAAAAGCAATGAAGAGAACAGCTGAGCATGGCATATGTTTAAGATTCTTAATCGTATATTTAAGGATAAAAAAATGGAATTGTCTTGTACTCATTTTCCTTTTATATAAACAGGAGCTTAAAACCACTCAGCATGAAAAAAAAAGGATGAAGTTCTATAGTGTGGCAAATAAAAGAGAGAAGGGTGGGGACTGAGGGGAAAGGAGGCTGTGGTTCAGAAACAAACAGATACAGAGATAAAGCATGAGAGATCAACAGAGAGCTGGCGGGAGCATCGGGAAGTACAGAGGAGGCTAGCTGCTCTTCTGGGTACGAAAGGGCGGCGCTCGAGATTCCAGAAGGAGTTTTCACACTCCCTTGAAGGTTAAGGGCAGCAATCCTCTTAAAGCCCACAATTTTCTTCATTTTTCAGAGAAGTTTTTATTTTTTTTTAAACTGACTTCCCATGCTAAAAATCGGGAACTAGTATGACTTATTTTGAAATAACATAATCTAGTCAAATGGCTTTTTTAAAAGACTGCTTTTTGTCTTTTAAGGAGACTTGGCTACAAGTTTCAAAATCATATATTGGATTTTCAAAGTTACAGGCACTTGGGCCAGGTGTGATGGCTCACACTGTAATCCCAACACTTTGGGAGGATGAGGTGGTAGGATCACTTGAGCCCAGGAGTTCAAGACCAGCCTAAGCAACATAAGGAGCTCATGTCTCTACAAAAAAAGGAAAAAATTAGCTGGGCATGGTGGCACCCGCCTGTAGTCCCAGCTACTCAGGAGGCTGAGGTGGGAGGATCACTTGAGCTCAGAAATTCAAGGCAGCAGTGAGCAATGATCATGTCACTGCACTCCAGCCTGGGTGACAAAGCAAGATCCTATCTCTAAAAATAAACAAATAAATAAACAACCAAAGTCACAGGCGGGAAGAGGGAAGGGTCGTTGGGAGCTATCAGAGGGAGAGGCACAAACTTCAGGGACAGCCTAGAAGGTATCTCCTGGACTGTACACTCAGCCTATTCCCTTCATCTGGAAATTTCTAGGGCCCAGCCCCTGATGAATGGGTGAGCTGAGCCTCACTCCTCATGCAGCCCAACCTCCCAGGCCACAGCCAACTGGATCAATGAGCAGCACCCTCCCAAGCCAGGACCAATCAGCATCTCCCCAAGAATCTTAGGCTCCAGTGAGGTGGAAACACAGCTCATACTGGAACAGCATGTAAACCTAGGGGGAAGGGAGTGGTCCACAGGAGGCATGGGCATTTTCCCATCAGGCTTTCTCTGCCTGATGAAGAAATGAGAAGTGAGAAGTGAGAAGGAGGAAAAGCTGGTCTGCAAAGAGACGTGGATGACCAGCTCTACTGTGCCGCAAGTAGAGTTTGTAGGATCCAAATCCCAGCTCACCATTTAATAGCCATAACCTTGAACAAGTCCTTGACCGCTCCTTGACCTGTTACCTGCACCATAAGGCTCTTTTGAGCATTAAATAAGTTAACACATATAAAGCACTTGGATCAGGGTCTCACATGCAGCAAATGCTTTCTAAGTGTTTATTATTACTATCATCTTGCCAAAATGTAAGCTCATAATGGTGAGAATTTCCAGCTGTTTTGTTCATATCATAACCCAGAATCTAGCACTATGCCTGGTATATAGTAGGTGCTCAATAAACACCTTTTCAGTGATCAGTGAATGAAGAAACCACACAGCTAGAAATGGATACAGATTCTCTCTCCTTAAGACTTAAGATGATTTGGCCAATTCATTCTCCAAGTATTTGTTGAATGCCTGCTATGTTTATAGTGGCAAACTGTGCTTGGTACTCATATACAATGAAGAATAAGAAGGAAGTTGTGGTCTCTCTTAAACAAAGCTCATGGTCTAGGAGAGAAAAATACATTGCCAAAATAATATGCAAATGGTAGAATTACAAGCAGTGGCAGGTGCATGAAGGAAAGGTGCATGGAGCTCTGGACGCATAAAACAGAGCAGCTGGCCAGGCGCAGTGGCTCATGCTTGTAATCCCAGCACTTTGAGAGGCTGGGGCAGGTGGATCACAAGGTCCGGAGTTCAAGACCAGCTTGGCCAACATGGTGAAACCGTCTCTACTAAAAATACAAAAATTAGTCAGGCGTGGTGGCACACACCAGTAATCCCAACTATTCAGGAGGCCAAGGCAAGGGGAATCACTTGAACGCAGGAGGTTGCAGTGAACCCAGAGGTTGCAGTGAACCAATATCGTGCCACTGCACTCCAGCCTGGGTGACAGAGTGAGACTCTGTCTTAATTTTTAAGAAATTACATAAGGCAATTGCTCTCAGGATTGGATGGCAGGAAGCAGGAGACTGTAGTCCCCAAAGGTGAGGAAGTGCACAGGTGAGCCCATCTTCACTTCAGGTCTCTGCCTGGGGACAGCTCGCTGCCATGTGCAGAGAGTAGCACCTGAGCTGAGCACAGTGCTCCCACTGAGCTGAGGATTTCCTAAAGTAAATCCTGGATGTCTGGCACCACTTCTGTGGAAGCTGCTAGAATCGGTGGCATCAGAGAGGAGGAAGCTCCTCAAGTCTTTGGCCAGTGGCTGGACTGTGTAAGCACAGGGAGAGATGGTCCAACGATTACCAGAGAGGGGCTGCTATGGGGTAGCAAGAACAGAGAGACTAAGAGTGAAGTGGAGCTGGCATATGGGAATTCCAGCCCATCAGATTCAAGAGATTCAAGAGACCTCCACACCAAGCATCCAAAAAGCCCATGCCTTCAGAACAAGCAGATGCCTCAGAGGAAGAGCTACTAATGGGGCCTAAAACCAACCCTCAAATAAAACGCGGAGAAGAGAGTTTAAAAACTAAGCCCCATCAAGTTAGATACACCTTGAGCTTTCCACAGATCCACCCTGACAAAGTGCAAAATAAAGCTCAGGATATCTATCATATCCAGCTTGTATCATCACCAGGCCAGAGTGCAGTCGACAACTACCAGACAGGCAACGAAACAGGAAATGGGGACTCATGGTCAAGAAACAAAAAGCTCAGTAGAAACAGATTCCAAGATGTCTGTGATATCCAATTAAAAAAAGCAATTGTCAAGACTTATACGTTCTTAATATTATCATAGATGTCCTTAATCAGAGGTACACACCCAAAAGGCCTATGGAGATTGGGGGGGTTGAGGTTTTTCATTTGTCTGTTTGTTTACCTGGGCCTTACTCATGCTACGGAGTTTCTAATTAAGTAGTTTCAGAACACCTATCAATCTGAATTTTTAAGAACCTCCCTAGAGGTTCTGATGTACACTATAGATTAAGAACCAGGTTTTAATTATATTAATAGAATACTTACACTTTAAGGCAAATACCAAAAAATTCAAGTTATATTAATTTAAATATATTAAAGGTTCTGGTTAATTGACCTGGTTAGTGGGCACCAATCAGTTGTTCCTGGTTAACCAGATTATATAATTAAAAATATTTCAACTCCAATTATTTTGGGGATAAATAAGCATACTTCCTTACTTATTTTGAAAAGAAAAAATCTGAGGTTAAATCAAAAGCCATAGACACACAAAAAAAAGATACTAATAAAAAAAAAAGGCTCATGGCAAAACATAAAATTAAAATATCAGAGTACAATCTACATGTTTGCTATAGAATTAAGTATAGAAATATATGGTAAGAGGCTGCCATGTTTGTGAATAAAAAAAAGAAAGGCAGTATATCAAAATACTAATGTAGCTTTTTAAGGTAGTTTGATAATGTATATCTTTAATTTTCTTACTTTTCTGTATTTTACAAGATTTAGTATTTTTTCTTAATGAACTCTTCATCTGAAACTTAAGATGATGGCTTCAGAAACCTGTCAGTCAACACACAAACCTCTACAAAACTCTAGAAGTTTCTCCATCAGAAAGAAAAAGGAAGAAGCATCCAGGCACACTAATATCATTTCTATCCTTATCCAGCTCAGAAGACTTTCTCCTCTGGCTTATGAGTCACTGGATTAGCTTCTGATGCTAATTTAGTCTCAGATTTCTCATTCCTCAAAGGAGTAAGAGGCTGAGACCCATACCTCATCTTAACAGGCAACAAATAGTGAGTCAAGCAGAAGTGAATCACTTAGTAACAAACACCACACACAAAAGGAAGAGCATTCGAGTCCATACCTGAACCACAGGGTGGCCCCCAGTTGGAGCTTTGACAGCCCCTCGGCTGCCTTCTGTCTCATAGTGGGCCCGGTGATGTGGCTTGGGCTGCACCTCGATCCGCAGCTCATAAGAGCCTGACTGACTGGAGAGCGGCCACTCAAGCGGAGGGAGGGATGCAGTCACTGGGATGCTGAAGGAGAAAATAAAATCAGCTCTGTGTACAATGAACCAGAATTTGTTAACTTGTACAATAATTGTAAATGGCCCCTTTTCTGAAAATCATGGATATGGTCATGTGTTGTTTAACAACAAGGATACGTTCTGAGAAATGCACCATCATGTGAACATCAGAGTGCACTTACACAAACCAAGATGGCACAGCCTACCACATACATATACTATATGGTATACTGGTTCCTAGGCTACAAACCTATATAGCATGTGACTGTACTGAACACTGTAGGCAATGGTAACACAATGGGAAGTATTTGTATATCTAAACATAGAAAAGTTACCATAAAAATACAGTATTAAGGCCGGGCATGGTGGCTCATGCCTGTAATCCTAGCACTTTGCAAGGCCAACATGGGTGGATCACTTAAGCCCAAGAATTTGAGGACAGCCTGGGCAATATGGAGAGACCCTGACTCTACAAAAAATACAAAAAAAGTCAGCCAAGCATGGTGGCACATGCCCATAGTCCCAGCTACCTGGAACGCTGAGGTAGGAAGATCCTCTGAGCCCAGGAGGTCAAGGTTGCAGTGAACTGTGATTGCACCACTGCACTCTGGTCTGGGGACCAGCGTCTCAAAAACAAAAACAAAAACCTGTCTCGGTAACAAAAACAAAACCCACAAAGCTGGGTGCAGTGGATCATGCCTTTAATTCCAACACTCTGGGAGGCTGAGGTGGGCAGATCACTTGAGGCCAGGAGTTCAAGACCAGCCAGGCCAACATAGTGAAACCCTGTCTCTACTAAAAACATGAAAAATTAGCTGGGCATGGTGGCACATGCCTGTAATCCAGCTACTCAGGAGGCTGAGGCACAAGAGTCACTTGAACCTGGGAGGTAGAGGTTGCAGCCAGCCGAGATCACACCACTGTACTTTTACCTGGGCCACAGAGAGACTCTGTCTCAAAAAGACAAAAACAAAACAGTATTATAATCTTTTGGGACTGCTCCCATATATGGGGCCCATCACTAATGAAAATGTGGTCATGGGGGGTATGATTGTATGTGAACAAAATGAGGCAGCATGTATTTCTCAGACATGACAGGAAGAGCTATTTACAGGGTCAAGATCTTCCACCTTGATGAAGACGGTGTGAGCAACTTCTCAACTAATGAAGTTTATGTTAGTTCTAGCATGTTTCTAACTGCTGTAACTTCTTTTCCTCTGGGAATTTTGAAAACCGTCACTATGGATTTCTGTCACTATGCATGGATTTATGTCACTATGTACTGATTTTTCACATATGGCAGAAATCATTTATCAGAGTATTCTTTCCCACTTAGCTCAGGGGTGCTAGGAGCTGGCACTATCAACTGGGCTTGGTTAAGCACTTGCAGTAAAGCCAATTTCTGTCTTTTCTATCACAGCAGTACCAAGGGGAGTACAAGAGATAGCCCCTCCATAAACTTCATCCATGCCAGAGTTCAAGTTCAACATTTCATCCAACTTACATTCATATCCTCACTATGCAAGCAAATCTCCTCCCTTTCTTTCCAACCAGACTACCTCCTGAAATCCCTCTTACCCTGTAGTCTTAGGGTATCCAAAGGACCTTTATTTTACCTTCGTTACAGTGCCAAGATGCCTTCAAGCTTCTGCCTGCGACCAACGAGCTACACGTGTCAAACACGTTTAGCCACATCTTGTATGCAAGTGAAAAGTTTTTGAAGGTTTACAAACTAAGACTCATTAAAAAATCATGTTGGTCCTGCATTAATATGCTTTAAAGCATCAAAAATGTAAGAAGAAAATTCGGTGGCATATCCCCAAGTTTCAATTTATAATTTTGTTTGGTTCTGAAATAGGTATTTGACACTGAAATACAATCTTAAGAAGTAGTGCGTCAGAGCCAGGCTGAAATTCTGATTTGAATTCCAGCCCTCTGCTGAGTTGTCTCTATACCCTGAGGTCAATGTTACCAGGAGACTTCCCTGATGCCCCATCCTCTCAACTTTATAGAAGATTCTTGCAAAGACTACATTGGCTGGCACAGATTGGGACTTGTAAAGTAAAGGACTCTAACACTCAGAACCTCTCCAAACAAGATGTCTCATGTAGAGGAAAAAATTTTAGAAATAGTAAAGTCTTCAATAAAGGTGTCATAATCATATTTTACAGCAGTGTCCCTTCCCACTCTCAACCATTAGATAAAATCATGGTTTGGAGACTGATCTGTCTATGCAGCACAAAAAACAAGGAGTTAAGAATCCCAGATCCTAATTTTCAATGCAGTCATTAACTAGCTGGCGATCATGGGGCTTGTCACTTCACCTCTCTGAACCCAAATTTCTCAATCTGTACCAGGGGTTAGTCTTGATCAGCATTTTCTAAGACACCCCTGTGAAACTTCTGACACAGAACTCTGCAACAAAATGGCCTTTGAAATCACCGTATATTCTGTCCGCATTAAAGTCTCTGAGAAGGCCTGCACACAGTCACCTACTTAACTCTGTTAAAATCAGAAACTCCTTTTTTTGAGAAACAACAGCTGATCCACTTCGGCCCTGGTGCTCTGAGAACCTGCTTTGGAGGAAACTCCAGGCTGGATGCTCCCTGTGGTCCATTTGTCTGGTATGGGGGTGAACAAAGCCCAGCGGCCAGGGCCCGAGACCACCCTCAACCCCACACCAATCAAAAGAGCTCTACCTTTGGGGACTCATTTTTTTTTTTTTTTTTTTTTTTTTTTGAGGTGGAGCCTCGCTTTGTTGCCCAGGCTGGAGACAATCTTGGCTCACTGCAACCTCCACTTCCCATGTTCAAGCAATTCTTCCACCTCAGCTTCCCAAGTAGCTGGGATTACAGGTGCACGCCACCATGCCCAGCTAATTTTTGTATTTTTAGTAGAGATGGGGTTTCACCATGTTGGCCAGGCCGGTCTTGAATTTGCAACCTCAGGTGATCTGCCCACCTCAGCCTCCCAAAGTGCTGGGATTATAGGCATGAGCCACCGCACCCAGCCTATTTGGGGACTCAGTTTAATATTGGGAGTAAAAGGCTTCCATTCACTAAAATAAAAAGTAACTTGAAAACCACAGAGATGATAGTAAGAGTCTTCCAATTCCTCTTCGAATTGGACAGGATAATCTCTGTCCTTAACCATGTACCTCCTTCGTCATTAGACCCAAATGAAGATAAAAAGTAATACACACCAAGTTTCTGTGAGAATCAAATGAAATAATACATACAGAGAGTGCAATTCATCCTCTGTATCCATGGGTTCTATGTCCTCAGATTGAAAATATTCAGAAAAAAAAAAAATTCCACAAAGTTCCAAAAAGCAAAATTGGAATTTTCCATGCTTCAGGTTCTACAGGGAGTCCCCATGAATGAAGTGACGTGCAGACACTGTATTAGGTATTATAAGGTATCATCACCTAGAGATGATGTAATGTACATGGGAAGATGTGCACAGGTTATATGCAAATATTATACCGTTTTACGTAAGGGGCCTAAGCATCCTCAGATTTTGGTATTCCAGAATACCACTGCACAGGCTGTATGCTAAGAGTTTGACATACATCATCTCATCTAATCCTTTTTTAAAAAGCCACAAGGTACATTCTTGTACCTTCTCACAGGGAATAAACCAAGACCAGAAAGGTGCTCAGTGAAAAGGGGGAGCAGGGGGAAGGTCTTGATTGATTAGTGATGTCTGCCCTGGGCACGGCTTCAAAAGGTGCTCAATGAGAAAGAGGGTGCTGACTGATTAGCAATGTCTTTCACAAGCAGAAAGGAGATGCCCATGTTCACTCAGGTAGCAAGTGGCAGAGGCAGGACTCAAATTGAGCCTTAAGAGACTCCAAAGCTTACACGTGATGCTGCCATCTACGTCCATCTCTTCAGCTTGCCAAGATCTTAAGTTCCTTGGCTCACACATTTCTTTTTTTTTAGGCCTCCATAGAACTGGAATACACAGCAGAGGCTAACAAACATCAGTTTCTCTTATAAATGAGACAGATTTTACATATTAAGGCTTGCTTTGTGCCTACCAGAATGTCAGCTCCACAAAGGCAGAAATTTTTGCCTGTTTACTTTACCACTGTCTCTCTGTTACTTCTATAACAGAATCTGGCACCTAGCAGATGTTTGATAAACATTTTTTGAATAAATGAATAAACAAGGTGCCACCATATGAGCAATCACATTTATCATGACTGCAGCCTCATAACCACCTGGTGATCAGGTCCACTAATTATACCCATTTTACAGATGAGAAAAACATGGCCCAAAGAATTTAACTTCCTCCTCAGGGTCTGCAACAAGCAAGGGGCCAAGATTTTAATCCACCCGACTCCGAATCCTATGATCATAACCAGAAAACCATCTCTTAAAACTAAACCATGGAATCCATCATCTTCAAAGCCCTGCTCACCTGCAGATGGGAATGGCAGGCACCAGCTGCTTGGGCCAAGTGGGCGGGACCAGCAGGATGGATTCGGGAGCTGAGTTTCTCCTCTCCTCTTGCTCGCAGGGCCCCAGGAACTCCACGGCCGGGTAGAGATGGCGGGGCAGGCCACCCTTGGATGGGGCGGCGGACACCGGCGAGGGCTCAGGGCTGGTCTTCCACATCTTGGGGGGGATCCCACAAGGCGAGTCCGTGGCGAGGCTGTTTAGGGCATCCATGATCACAGCAGAGCCAGCCACAGGAGGGTACCCAGCCGGGGCGCCGTGGTCCTGGGGTGCCACGTGAGATGTGGGCTGCGGCGAGGGGCTCCGGGAGTGCTGGGGTGAGGCTCCGGGCAGCGGGGCAACCAAGGCCTCGGCGCACGAATGCCTCCGCTTGGCACCAGGTGACGAGGAGCGGGAGGCCGGACGGGGCACGGGCGAGTGGCGGCCCAGGCAGCTGTCCTCGGCGAGGCTGGTTCGAGGTGACATTATTGGCGAGGTTCTGGGGGAATAATGAGCAGGGATGTTTTGAAACTGTGGACACAGGTCGTCGGGCCCGCCATTATTGGGCGAGACGCAGGGCGAGGTGTAGGGGGAGAAGGTGTCAGAAATGAAGCTGGCAGAGGAGCCGCTGCTAGCGGGGCTCAAGCAAAGCGGCTCGCGGTAGCCCTCGAAGCCGGGCACGGGCAGCGTGAACCTCGGGCTGGCGGCCACCCCGGCCAGGGGCACCTGCTCCACGCCCGCGTCTCTCATGCGGAGGGGCCCCCCTGCCTGGATCAGTTCGTGGGACGGAGTGATCTCGATCCGAGGGCTCAGGCCCGAGGCCCCCGCTGGCTTGGCCGGGCTCAGAAAGTTCTGCGGCCCTACCCTATCGGGCTCTGCGAATCGGCCGGGGGGCTCGCCCGGGAGACTGGTAAAGGGGCTGTATGGCTTGAGGCCATAGTCCAGGACATCATCGGGGTATGCGGGTCCGGAGGGTGGGCTGGCGACCTTATGTGCATTCGGCTCTTCTGGAAAGAGAAGGGGGGAGGGGGGTCTTTTTAAGCCTCAAAAACAGAACTCCCAGTGCAGAGCAATCACAGGTTGGGTTTTGTCTCACGTTATTATCTTTTTTTTTTTCCCTTCCCCAAATTCCCACCATGCCAAACCCCAGGCTAGAAGCTCTGTCCCTCACCAGAAGGAAACTGAGGCCACTTTGTCCCAGATCCCTGGAGAAGAGAGGTTGAAGCAGAATAAGTTCTGGAAGACCCCTGGGCAGAGGGCCTCCAAACTCGGGTTTCAGTGAAACCCGTCGGAGAAGTGCACTGTATCTCACGACCCCACTCACCACCGCATATGCCCACAGATGACATGAACGCCGCCCAAGTCAATACTTACCCTGCTGCATATGACACCCCAGACCCTCCCTCCTGTCTGACTGATTTTGCTTCAATGCTGGTCACAACCCATTAGATGGGTCAGGACCCGGAGTTTGAAAAGCAGTGATCTAGGACCTATGGCAGCACTCCACACTCGTGACAGGTTGTGGGACACGAGGGAGGCTGCACAGACTCTGCCACCCACAGTGCCCTGGGCTTGAATCTCAGATTGCACACCAAGTGCGAGAAGTGGCTTCATTTAGAACCAGGGCTCCTGACTCATGTCTCATCTGTGTCATTTTACAAATGAGGAAACTGAGGCCCAGAGTGGGAAAGGATCCACCAAGATATGGGATTCGTTGGCTTAAAAATACCACAGGCAAACCACTTGTCCCCAACAGGCAGGATCACTACTACAGAGATTACCTGACACCCCAACTATTAAAACCAGTGGGTGCAGGCTGGGCACAGTGGCTCACACCTGTAATCTCAGCACTTTGGGAGGCTGAGGTGGGCGGTTCACTTGAGGCCAGGAGTTTGAGACCGGCCTGGCCAACGTGATAAAACCCCGTCTCTACTAAAAATACAGAAATTAGCCAGGCGTGGTGGTGGGTGCCTGTAATCATAGCTACTCTGGAGGCTGAGGCACGAAATCGCTTTAATCCAGGAGGCCGAGGTTTCAATGAACTGAGGTTGTGACACTGCACTCTAGCCTGGGCAACAGAGCGAGACTCCATCTCAAAAAGAAGTCCATTCTCAAAACCTACTATAAAGGCTTCCAGACACTTTAGATGGGACCTACAGTCATTAATACAGCATGTGTCCTGGCCTGCCAGCCACCCCCACCACTCCCTACACTTCTCCCCACACTGGGTCAGCAACAGCCCCATCAACATCTTCACTGCACTTAAGCTGCTCCTGCCTCAGAGGCCTTGGGTTCCCTCCCACCTGGAAACCCTCCCTGCGAGATTCTCCTACTTCCCCTGGTTCCTTCCTGCATCTGCTCAGCCAGCACCTCCTGAGATCGGCCCATCGAAGAGATCCCCTCCACCCCTTTTCCCTGCCATCTTTGCTCCACTGACATCTGTTAGCAGCTCACATTGCCCCAGGTATCTGTTTAGGGAATCTCATTCTGCTAAACCAGGAGCAGGCACACCACAGCCCACTGGGTTGTGTTGTTAACAGTTTTATGACAACACAGCCGGCCTGTTTATTTACACAGGGTGAACAAAGCAAGCTATAGCTTGCTCCTGTACTACAACAGCAGAGTTGGTAGTTACGACAAAGATTGAATGGCCTCCAGAGCCTGCAATATTTACGCCCTGGCCCTTTAGAGAATTTTGCAACCCCATACGGGACCCTGAGCTCCATCAGGGCTGGGCCAGGGTCACTGTGGCCCAGCATTGTCTGCCAAGCACCTACCACAGGCCCTGGCACTTGCCAGCCCTCCATCAACATCTCCCGAGTGGCTGAGAGAGTAAGCAAATGGAAGAACCATGTCCAGGGGCCCGCCAGCCAGAAACCAGACCTTTGCCTGTGGTTGTCCAGCCAGCTCCTGCTTTGGGGGACCCCAGGTGGCCACTCCAGCAAGCCTCAGCCTCCTTGTGCCCTTTCTGGGCTGTCCTAGAGGAAGTACTGCCCACTTTAGCTAAGCTGATCTCTCAGGGTCCAGAAGGTGCCCCCATTCCCAAAGGGGTTCCCTACAGATCTTAGGTAAAAATAAATTACCCCCACCAGGCAGCCTGGCTGGGTCCTACCTGCTCACCTACTCTCGCTTGCATTCAATCTCTCCACTCCCTCTCTCTGAACTCACGCCAAAAGGGAGTGTCATGATTTTTGTTTTCCTTTTGTTTTGAGACAGGGACTCACTCAGTTGCCCAGTTTGGAGTGCAGTGGCACAATAATAGCTCACTGCAGCCTTGACCTCCCAGGCTCAAGCGATCCTCCCACCTCAGCTTCCCAAAGTGCCAGGATTACATGTATAAGCCACCATGCCTGGCAAAGGGGAGTTTTTTTAAAAGCATCGAGCTCCTTCCTGCCCCAGGACCTTTCTACTTGCTGCTCCTCTGCCTCAACAGGTCCTCCTCAACCCACTACCAGGCCCCCTTCTCCATATGACTAAAGCCCACTCATGCCCATGAGCTCAGCTTAAGTGCCACATGCTTCTAGAAGGACCCCTGACCACTTGACTAGCTCAGGCCCCACTCACAGGCCCCTGCTATGTTCTGTGCACATCTCACCGTAACGACTGAGCAACTGTAGAGTCCTCCACTTCCCTCAACCTCCAGTCTGCCCCTCCCTCAACCTCAAGATCCACCCCCACCAATCTGCTAATGCCATGAGAACTCTTGCTGTGCCATGCCCCTAGCACTTGGATGGAATCGGCCACTAAACAGACCCTCAAAAACGATTCATTGGCTGAATGAATGACACAAGTTCAGAAAAGCCTACCTGGAATATTTAAACTATTACTCAAAGATGCTAATATCCAAACCAAAAGATAGAAGGCTAAGAGGGTAGTTTGGTAATATCCATCAAAATTCCAAACACACGTGCCCTTGGAACCACATGTGGCCTCGGAACCATGCAATGCTACTTTTAAAAATTCATCCTGGACCAGTCACAGTAATTCATGCCTGGAATCCCAACCCCTTGAGAGCCAGAGGTGGGAAGATCGTTTGAGCTCAGGAGTTTGAGACCAGCCTGGGCAATATACAGACTCCATCTCTACAAAAAAAATAAATAAATTTAAATTAGCTGGGCAAGGTGGCACCTGCCTGTTGTCCCAGCTACTGGAGAAGCTGAGGTGAAAGGATGAAGACTGCAGTGAGCTATGATCACGCCACTTCCTCCCAGCCTGGATGACAGGACGGGACCCTGTCTCAAAAAAAATTTTTTTTTCCTGCAGATATACTCTCATCTGTGCAAAATGACCTGTGTATCCTTAAGATTAGTTACTTTAGCCATGATTGTAATCCCAAAAGACTGGAAGTAATCCAAAGCCCATCTACTGGGGATGAATTAATTCTGGCTCATTTATATGATGGGATACAATACAGCTACAAGAAGGCCTGAAGAAGTTCTTTATGCATTGACACGGAATGACCACTAAGATTTAGTATTACAGGAGAAAAGCAAGCTGTATAGTGTGCACAGCATAAAAAGGGTGAGATGATGTACACACTCAGATGTACAGATAGATGTACACAGACATATATAGATATACACACACAGATGTACACACAAAGACAGATGTACACGCACAGCTGATGGATGCACAGGCTTTCTCTGGAAGTCACAGGTAACAGTGACATCCTTCAGGGAGGGAAACTAAGGAACGAGAGGACAGTGACATGACAGAAAGGAGACTGTTTTTTATTTCTGTAATTATGTAAGAAAAGAAATGTAACTCCCAAAAGAAACATTTTAAATCTTATTTCATAGGTGGTAGGTGACATTACATGATATATAGCAATGAAACCCTGTTTTACGAAGCAGGAAATTGAGAATGCAGTCCTACTCTGCCACTAAGTAGCAGCGTGACTTTGGAAAAGTCCCCCACGCACTGGAGGTCTCAACCCGTTCTCATTTGTAACTGAACAGCATTAAATTGAATCAGTTTCCTTGGTGGCTTCTGGCTCTGAAATCCTTAGATTTTTCTAGCTAGCATCTGTAAGGCCTGGGGTTCTTGTGAGGCTGTAGTTCAATGTAAACGTGTATTTGAATTCACACAGATATATACACACACGCCTTCCTAGAAGGTAACCAGGCATAGATTTTAAATCTAGGAAAAGACGGATGTCAAATCTATGGCCAACAACATTCTGAGAATTCACTGCCCTTCAAACCAGAAACACAAAACACAAAAAGTCTCTTAGCAAAAATTCCGGCCGTATCAGAAAAACTGCACTGCCTCTTATCAGAAACACACCCTCAGGGCTGAAGTCAACAGTCCGGAGAAACACAGCCCTGAGAACACACATCACCACACTCCCAGGAGCACTGAAAAACAGACCGCTCCAGCGTGCCGGGCAGAAGTATTTAAAGCATTCACATTGGTTTTCATCAATCCGAGTGGCAGAAATTTTTTTTCTCTTGACAAGACTTTGAATGTTTACCAGCGAGCAAGGAATATGAAGATAATTAATAATCATTTAATTCTCAGTGCCCTGGGCATTTGACAGTAAAGTTCACAAACATCATTAAAATATTTCTTTCAGTTAGTGGCTGAGATCCCTCGCTATTTCTCCTTCAACAAGTGCCACGCTCGCAGACCAGCTTTCTTACTGGCATCACAGTGCCTGCACGGCGCTGGGTGAAGTTAGTTTCATCTCAGAACTGCCAAATGCTCTCTGGAGGGTTTCCAAAAAGCTTGCTTTCATTTAACCACGTACACCATCTTTGCTCTGTCCATGTGCCACCGATAAACATTGACTTAATATTTCTAGTATTTAAATTCACTTTTTTCTTATTTTAAAAGGAAACTTTATACCACTACTGCAGATGGAAAATCAATGTCACCTCCATAAATAGAAGACAGGGTAAAAATACAATAAAAATAAAACCTACTCAATTCAAGCAAGACACAGTGGCTGGCTGAAGGCTCTGAGTCTGAGGCTCTATACATCCCCATCCAGCCAGTGCTTCTGTGG